GAGAACGACGACCCGAGTTGTTGCTCTGTTAAGACGGAGAAGCAAGGGGATGAAGCGGAAGCGATAGTGTGGAAGAACAGATGGTTGTTTGCCGTGACCAGAACGCTTGGATTAGTCTATCGCCGGGTGGAGACAGGTTTGACGAAAATAGGATATGGCTATTCAGGGCAGACGAACAATAGGTAGGAAAGATCATGAAGAAGCGGTGATGGGTCAAGGGGCAATTACGAAAACGCGCTTTGAACGCGTTAATTTGGCGTTCTACGACTAATCAGTGGGCTGTGGATCGCGTTTTATTCGGTCGATGTGGGGTACAGCAGAGGTACCCAGATGAGCAACCACGATAGCGAAGAACGCCGTGACAGGCCAAGACTCTGCATTAATGACCAAACTGTACAGTCACTCAATAACAGGTGAGATTCGTTTTCGTTTGTGCTAATACTACACGTGTACTTGGGTACAAGCTCGAGGGCCGAGCATTGACCACCTGGTTTTCGTGGGGTAAGGTTGAATCCCTCGGTGTGTCACCGGTGAGGACAAATAGGTACCTTGGTACTGATATCGAAAAGGAGGTTTCCCATTCTTATTCTTATTCTTCCATTTATTCTTCCAGGGAACAGCTACGTCTTGACGTCATCTGATCTGTGCGAGGAAATAAATATTCCCCCGTTTACGGTCGATAGTTCTGTCTGAGAGAGCATAAAGAGCATATATGTTGGGGAGTGAAACTTCGGATAAGAAGGTCCTCCGTCCGGTGGTTTTCCTCTCGGCACATATCATTGTCAAGTCGGAGACAATATCATTCGCGAAAGGGGGCTTGGGTTTAAGACGCGCGGGACCTTCGACGGCTTCGGAATGACTCAACAGCAACGGAGGATGAACAGGGCAAGAAAGAAAACTAAACAACCTACCGTGGAGAAAGTCATGAACAGTTTTGCGTCCGACATAATAGGTAGAGCAGAGTAGTCACAGCGACATGTATAATCAATGCATGACCCCGACGTGTCGCCGCAGCCTGCACGAGACATCGCACCTGTCGTCACGAGGTTCATGGATCTCGTCCGCTTCAAGCCTATGTCGCACAAGCACCTCGATGGAAGCAGGGCCTGCAAAATGCGAGAGAGAAAGCAATGCAGATGGAACATGAACATGTCGCCGGCGTCAAGCCTCGGCAACCTTTCTCATTATCATTCCACCAAAGGCCCTCTCTTCCCTATCCATAGCCCGAAGAAAAGGAGAAAAAAAAAACCCAGCGTTTAGGCTGGACGTAGTGGTATCATGACCCGTATCTCTCCAATCTCCCATCCGCCCCCAGCTCTGTGCCGTTTGCCGGTAAAGCAATCCCTTTCTAGAGAATACAGCAGGCGCGTTTTTCTGGCTTGTGGCTTTTGCCACGCAAAACAGTGCGACAACCCCTCTTCCCCTTCCTTACTTCCCGGTTTTCTCACCCTGACTATATCCGCTCAAATGGAATTTTGCAGAAACGAGAAGCATGAAGCCCCCCCAGAAATACAAAAAAAGGAAGGTGCGTAGCGAATGTCGTCGTACAGGTTGTACAGGGTGCAGGCCAAACCCCGCCAAGAAAAGAGAAGATATCAAGGTGACAAATAAATCAGAGAAAAGGAAACGACTGTCGTTGCGCGCAGCGGGGCGCTAGCTCGTCCACGTGGTATCGTCCTGTATCCCCCTCAAAACGCCGGCGAAATGCTGTGGGCCGGCATGGGGACCCTGTCGCCCGGGAAAGAAATCAATCAGAAACAGTCGGGTTGTTCCCTGACCTCAGTCGATAGTATGTACGATGGTGTTCCGCGTGTCGTTGGCGAGAAACTTGTCCGCGTGCCGTAGGAAGTAAAGGAATCGATCAGCCGCTCAATCAGGGTTGGCAATAAAGAGTCTTCCCGTGGAAGTCAGAGTCGAAGTCCTCTCATCGACGCTACCCCTCCTCTTCAGCTCCTCGGCGCTCTTAACGCTATTCTCGCGCGTCAGGGCGGCGTGCATGAGCGAATTGGAAGCCAGCCGTGCGGCGCTTCCGCCACCGCCGGCCTGTCCCAGCTCCCCAACATTGTCAGCTCGCTCGGCGCTGCTCCCGCTAGCGATGCTCCTCGCGCGGCCGCTCGCGGCGTCTCCACCCGAAGAAGGATCTTCCTGGCTCGTGGAGAGACGAAGAGGGGGTCTTTGCTGTTGTTGTTGTTGTTGTTGTTGTTGTTGGTGGTGTTGTTGCTGCTGCTGCTGCTGTTGTTGGTGTTCCTCCTCGACGATGCTCGCGCGGTCGGGAGTGTCGGTAGGGCTGTAGCGCGGGCCTCCGGCGCCACCCGAAGTGCGATAGCCGAGGCCGCGGCGGCTCGCCGTGCTGCTTCGGCCGCTGCTTCCCGTGCGGCGGTGCTGGTGGTGCAGGAAAGAGCGAGAACGCTCGGCTTCGTCGTCGGAGCTTTCGGCCTCGACCTCGGTGGCGCTGAGCCGCAGAGGAACGCCGCCTACGCCGACGTGGTTGGCACCGGGGGAGTAACCGACCACGGCGGGCTTGCCGTGGTGACGGATCTTCGCTGCAACTTTATTGGTGGCGCTGAGGCCAGTTGAAGTACGCCCAGAGGAGGGTCCGACGGTGCCAACCCCGGACTGGTTTCCTCCGAGGACTTCTAGGGTGGCGCGCATTTTGGCGGCGCGCTGGGCGGCAACGAGGCGGGGGTCCTCGAGCTGGGTACGATCGGACCAGACGGTAGCCTTTTGTTTGCGGAGGAGAGCGACATAGCCGGAAGATTGGGGTTGTTGGGCGGAAGCCGTGGTGCCACCGGAGCGGGAGGAGGTGGAGCGACGGATATTGTCGGATGGGGAGGTGCGGTAGGCGGCGGGCGGTGGGATGCTAGAAGCTGTCGAGAAGGTATTGACGGAGGGTGTGCGTCGGGAGTTCTGCGGCAGGAGCTGCTGTTGCTGCTGGTGATAATGCGGATGAGCAGAGAGGTGGGTGGGCGTCTGGACTTGGACGGGAAAGGTGTTGGAGGAGGTGGTACGGGTGCGGGAATGTGAGTAGATGTTGGGACCGCCCATGTAACGACTCCCGGATTGAGGGTCTAACATGGTGACCATACAACGCTGTTGCTGCGAGGTGCCAAAGGCGTCTCAAATGGGAAGAAGGACGCCGCTGGATTGGGGAGGAAGGAAATGAGGCGATTGAGAAGGGAAGAAAAACAATGCCGGCGAGACGGGTGATGTAAACGCGTGTGGTGTTGATCCGTTTGGGCGCTTTTTTTCTTTCTTTTCTTGTCCGTGCGTCGTTCGGTAGCCACAATGGAAAGAGTCAGTCGGACAAGACTACCAAGCCCAGCAACGTTTTTTTGACCAAACGATTCAGCAAAAGAGCCCTGCCCAAGAACTGCGTTGCTAGTTCGCCTTGGTGCGAATGCGGTGCGATGATGGGTTGCGGTGCCAATTGTGGAATTGCCAAGATGACAATATCAGCCAAGTCGGAACAAGACGGGAAAGATGCTGCGCCGACCAAAAGAGAACAGATGTCGGATTGTACGGAGTAGGTAAACCTCAAGAAAACTTCGGTCTCCCTATGCCATTGTCGGGAGTGCGACCTATTGATGCACTGGACACTCAATCGTCAGTGTGTTGGTTGGTCGCCCGAGGGAGAAGACAGGGATCGAGGGCGCTGAAGAGGATAGGTAGAAGCGAAGCGGAGGTGTTTTCGTACGAAGTACGAGCAAAAGAAGTTGGCCGGAGTAGTTACGTTGTAATTACGTTCTACCACCGTTGTGACGCTGGCTGATTCGCTTCCCTCGGCCGGCAGTGCGAGGTGAAGCTGACTATGTGTGTAAAGAGGAGAGAAAGGGGGGGAAATAGAAGAGGAAATGGAACATTTGGGAGGGCTAACTTTTGGAGAAAATGGTACTGCCCAGTGATAAGAGAGATGGGTGGGGGGAAAGGAGGGACTCAGGGAGGGAGTTGGTAAGGCAGGGAATCTCGATAGGTATCCGTCTCGTCCTTGTTGCCTGATATCTCGCCCATTAATTACCACCTGGGTACCTTACTTGTCATAATTCCGTACGCTGTGCAGTCTAAGGTAAGGTAGTGTAAGGTATATCCATGTCAGTACCTGCCTCCCTTTGACTCTTCAGCTGTCCAAGGGATGCTCAACATGCTCAACCGGACTTTAGCGTGCGAATGCGGGAGGTACACTACGTGGGTGGTGCACTCGGTGGCCCGTTACAGTGGGGTGGGGGTTTTTCTGCAATCGATCACTGCGCATCGACAAGTCTGCCAAGAAGTAGCGCGTTTGTCTTCTCCGTATTGTCTACGAGTACGGATACAGAGTGCTGTGTTTGATTTCCATGATGCCTTCTGTTCCTACTCTTCTGAATGCAATGGAATGTGGAATGTTGGTTATACGTAGTATGTACCAAGAGGTTAGGTAATGTAATGTAAGCAACTCGTACAAATAAAGCGTTACCGTCGCCGTTTATTCCGTCTCGACCGCAAAGCCCAAACCATATGTAAAGTCAAAGACCCAAGGCCACTGCAGCGCATTGTCATCAGTGACGGCACCATCCCTAAAGGGCCGAAAACGGCGACTGTGCCTCCTCTCTTGAAAGTGATTAGTAATTATCGTCGCCCTCCTTTATCCAGAACCATGTCGACGACTCGACTATCCCTCCATTCGCAGTACGACGATGATCATAATGACCTCATACATAACCCAACCGACACCCACTCCTTTGGGACCCCTTGCGGCCTTTCTTTCCTTTACCGTTCCCCTTTTTCTTTGCTTCTTTTCTTTCCTCCGCACGCCAAAAACGGGATTCCGGATTGGCCCGGACCTCAAGTTAGGGAAGGTGGCCGAAGTCTTAAACGTACGTTGTACACTACGTGTATGTAGTCGCCCATTGCCACTGTTTTGAGCTTGGGTCAACCCTCTTTATATACCAGCACGTACGATGGACGCGTCTGACGACAGTCCAAGAACCAATGGAATTGCGTGAATTTGGTGTTTTGTTGCGTCTTTTTAACACGTGAGGGCCAATCCAAGTCGGCGGGAGAAGTTCCCGAGTTTCTTCCTAAGCCGGCATCGGACTTCCGGCAGACCTTCCGGCAGGCACCGAATATTTCAGTTCATCGTGAGATCCACGACTGTCCACTACAGTGTAATCAAGAGGCAACTGTCAGCCCTCCCGTGGCCCACATGAACATGCCAACACCGGCAAATGCTGCTGTAGCGTAGTAGCAATGCAGCCAGCCTCATTCCACGGTGCCAAGTCGGGCACATACATACGGACGACGCTCTCCGGAATGCGAGACTAATCATGTCCGAACGTCCTTGCTGCCATCGATCTCCTTTGGATCACGACTCTTTCCCCCGGAATTGCCCCATGCAGAACTTGTGTGCCAATGCAGCACAGGAGACAACTCGTGACACCTCATTACACACTTGGTCGACTAACACTCGGCTGAACGCGACTCGAGACCTAGACCAACAGAATAATTACACACCGGTCAGCAAAAAGCCCATGCCTGCAGCGGGAAGAGCCATGAAAGGGACTTTCTCCAGCCTCCAGCCTCCAGCCCCGGTCACCTACATTCCCTGCACTCCCGCATTCCAGAGTCAAGGCTTAGTTGTATTATCATCGACCAGGCCGGCGGGATGAGATTCGTGTCGCGCCATTTCTCGTCGCGTCTCTCCACCGTTCCCCTGGCTGGGGCTTACCGCTCACCTCTGCGCCGACGCCATACATAGTGTTGTGTTGTGTTTTGTTGTGTTGTGGCTTGCATATCGAGGCCACAGCCCGCAGATCGCAGAATCCGTGTAGGATGGTCATTGCTCAGCAGAATATAGGCAACGCCACCGGCGCACCGCCTCCTAGTCCAGAACAGGTCCACCGCCGAGAAAAGCAATTAAGACCAACTCTCGATACCAACAAAACTCTCAAGCCCGTGCATTATTTCCCGTGTGTCCTCCTAATCTTTGTCGAGTCCAATCCGGAACAAAGCCCTCGACGGGAACGAGGGAGATTGTCGGATCATTTTGCACTTTTCTTTCCTGCGGGTCTCAGTCTGAAAAAGCACTGCGCATGCTAACCACCCTCTCTTTGTTGGCGAGGGGATTTGGGCGCCAGTATCAGGTCGATACATGAATCACCTGCTCTCGTCGCATACAAGCTTGAAATTAAATACCCCGTCACTCGTGTGATCAGCACTAATCCTAGGCCAGCATTCCTCATACTTAAGGGGTCCTGTCACTCTGGTTTGATGTTTTTCTAGACTTTCTCGGCATTGGATTAATCATGCTGTGCTCTGATCGAAACTTCATCTTCTATCGTGAGGCGGTGTCTCTGGGAATAACTTCATTCTATTACTGACGGGACCCTGTACTTAGTAGACCTATAATATGACCGCAATACATATGTCACTCCCGTCCAGCCGGAAAATATGCAACACGACAACAGCGCTGGGGCCCGAAGACGACAAAACTTTCCCGCCGTGGGACAGGAACTGCTCGCTCGCCTCGTGCCCCGTATCGGGCAATCTCCTGAATCTGGCTATAATAAACTATCATATAAATATAAGACAACCCGGCCTGCAAAGTAATCCACGGTCAGTTATCATCCGGATTCAGGACCTCCGGAAGGAGCGCCAAGCCCTTTTCTTCCTCTCCCCGTCCTTAACAGCTCGGCCGAGTACGCCGGAAAAGGATGTGGATCGCTGTGACGCTATGAGATCATGATGGGTCTCGGTCTTTGTCCCCGCTCTTAACTTCCTTCAAGTAACGTCGAGATTTCAATACGACGGACTGACGGACTCGCAATCGGACCGCATCATGACTCGTCACGTTCGGACCAACATTTCCGGTTATATCGTGCGTTTTATTATGGCGCTAGTCGTCGTCTTCGATGGTGGGGGTTACGAAAAGTTGGCCATCAAAGAGGATCTCGAATATGTGAATAGACCTTGAGTGTTTGAGAGGCTGTTTATGGCTAATATCCTTCGGGATCATACGTATCTTGCCCATTGTCTGACGTTTTATAAAAGACTGTTGACATTAAACAAATTCTGGATTAATTAGGTAAAGAAAATACAAGTAGAAAAAGAAAAAAAAAAACGAAAAAAAAAGGCCAAACGACCAACTTGAACAACGAAAGCACGGTCCACTCGTGGGTATCTGAGAGAACCGACCCCTGTCGTTCTCGACGCCCGTCAAAACTCCCACATTTCGGTTCTTACTCCCCCTAGTTATCACCCGGGGGGCCTATTCCTTCTTCCCCCCGCCCAACAACCCACCCACCAGGCCGCCGGCGTTCTTCACCCCCTCGGCAGCAGCCGCCCCAGCCGATTTCCCACCGTCAGCCACACCGCTGACCACATCCTCGACGGCCTCCCCGCCAGGCGCGGCTTGGGCACCCGTGGTGTAGCGGCCCTGCTCGTCCTTGCCCTGGCGCTCGGCGCGGTTGACGCCTTCCTTGGAGGCGTAGTCCCCGACCGGCTGGAGGAGGCCGCCCTGTCCGACTTGGCCGGCGACGAGGCCGTTCACGCCGTCCTGGAGGGTGTCGACTTGTTCGATCCCTGTGACTTTGGTCTTGTCGAGGTTTTCTAATAGTGTGTATCGGAACGAAAGTTAGCCTCCTGTCGTCTTCGCCGCACGTGCTTCCGGGGGGGGGGGATGCAACGTACGTTTAGTGGAATAGCTGGCCTTGTTGTCCTTAGTAAACCAGCGAAGATATTGGTCCTCGAGCCAAGGCACCCATTTCTCGTACTGCTCGTTATAGGTTTGTTTGGCCCACTCCGCCGTGCTGGCCTGGTTTTTATTTTCGTCTTGCGAACGATTGTCCATATTGTAGCGTCACGGCCTTGGGGGGCTGGGATGTGTGTCGCTAGGGTATATTTCAGAAAAGATTCGAAGAGCAGGGAATCGGGGATACAACAGGTCGATGTATGTTCGATGGAATGATCAAGAAGTGAGTTGAGAAGACGAATTTGCAGATTCTCAATTTGAAGGTCCACCCAGCACGCTGCCCCATTCATATATTTCGTTCATCGGCATATTACGTCTCCTTCTTTAGTGCCAACCTTGGACACGACCAAGTTTCGTCGGTCGATTACAGAGATTGTGAGGGTGTTTTGTAACGGGCACCCCATCAATGGGTGCATAGGTACTTCGTCTGGCCCTGTGTATCATGTCCCGTTTTACGTTGTATGCGCCACTTCTTGTCGATCGGGTTTGCGATGACGTTGTGGCGACCAATCCACACGACTTGCCGATCCAACGTCATGTCACATGTTTCTGTGGCGCATTAAAGGAACTAAGGTACCTTACCTTAGGCGCGAAGGGTTCTGTCGGCTCAAGAAGGGTTATAACTTGTCCACATTCTTGCTCCTGAAACCGCGGTTCTTGATGGCAGGTCGATTTGACATATCTAAGCGATCGTGAAGATAAGATACCATGAGGTCCGTGTATCATTGGATCCAGGGATGCAAGGAAACTCATGGACTCGGCAGGACGCAGGAACGCATAAAAGACTTCTCGACAGAAAATATCCAACGCCCTGAAGATGTGCGGATTGCAAGATTCCCCCAACTCGTAATGTCTGTCATTCTTCGGGTTAAGATCTTGGGGTTGCTGGCAACAACCTCATCTCCGCCTCGCGGAAGCTGGGAATCCGGAACCCTGGAGTAGACTCAGCGCGAGGCTATTTCCGTAGGACGTTAATCAATTCGCTACTCGTCATAACACACGTCTCAAAGGCTTTCCAGTTCATCTTCTTCATGCCCAAATGGTTGGATGTGAGTAAAGCGGTGGGACGTGGCACCGAATCACACGTAAACCACATGAGTGACAACCCACCTCATGTCCACCACGGCGAGGAGGTGGCTCGCAGACAATCGCGACAAGCGTCCTAGCTGCTCTTCAACCCGCGCGTAAAGCGCGACAGGAGACCACCGCGTTTCTTACTCTTCTCGCTCTCATGCCTGTCCAACTCGTCCTGCGTGTTCAGCTGGGTAGTGTTGTCGTGCATGACCTGCTGGGCCAACGAGACCGAGTTCGGTTGTTGTTCCGCCGGCGCCTCTGCGTCTTCATCCTCCACCTCGACTGTGGCAGAGAAGAGATCCATGACCTTGCCGGGGCCGACCAGCCTCTCGTAGACGGCCAGGGTGGTGGGGAATTCCTTGTCCATGCCGATTTTGATGGCGTCGAGCAGCTGCAATGCATAGGTTTGGCAGTTGTTGGTGATGAGGTTGTAGGCTGGCTGCTTCTCCCGCATGCTCTGGATCACGGACTCCCCTGCGGCGTGTGTGTTAGCGGGTCTTGACCAAAGAGGATATGAGCAGATACCGCTCAGTTCTGAGGGAGTTGAGGAGAAAACAAAAAGGGTCAAAGGCCCGCTGGACTCACCTGTACGTCGAATTGCATCGTCATTGAAGCGTGTCTCGCCCACCTGGAAAGTGCGCCACTCCTCCCGGTTGACCTTTTCGTTGGTGTAGATGACATGGAAATTCTCATCCTGCAGCCACGAGTCAGACGGCGGTCAGCGAGACAAGTTCCACACGGGTTCTCCTTTCAGTGGAAAGAAGGGGAGAAAAAAAAAAGAATAAAAAAAAGGAGCCTCACCATCCACAACTGATGGGCATAGTCGCCGACAAGCACGGCCCAATGCTGGGTAGGATCCGGGTACCTATTGATCCGCTCCGTGATCATCTTCCCCAGCCCGGTCTCCTCGGCGAACCATTTCCCCGCGAACCCTCCGACGGGGTGCCAGCCGACCTCGACTGGCCTCGCCGGGCCGTTAGCCACAGGCTTGGTCACCGGGACCACGTTGGGTTTATGGCCCAGACCCATGGCCTGCTTCAAGGCCTGTTCGCCTTTAGTGAGGCTCTTTTTGCTTCATAACGGTCAGCAACTAGTCCCCACCGGAGAGAGAGGGAGAGAGAGAGAGAGAGGATAACGCACAAAAATTCGCCAACCTTATCCCGCTTCCTCTCGCCGTCGCTTCCCTCCTTGGACTCCTCCTTTGTCTCCTCCTCCTTAGCCCCCTCTTTATCGGATTCCGAAGGCATGGCGACGAACAAGGCTCAGTTGGGAAGATGTGCCTTATAAAACGACCAGCACGGTCATGGGGAATTGCCGACTCCCTGATGGATAACAGAAGCCAGACGAGAACCGGACGGCGCTGACGATGACCTGAAGTTGAGATTGGGGCGCAATAAGGGGCCGATGATCGATGATCAACAACAAGCATTGACCCCACGACGTTTTTGCAGCCAAGCCCCATTGGGCGCCTCATTGGGCGCCTCATTTCTCTTGGCTTGGGCACATTCACGTGAGTTGTACCGCGATGCCGCGTCACCAAAGCGCGCCCCTAATGCAAGAGCACAGGCACGAGGTGGCCAATAAAACGAAATGAATGGTCCCGTTTGTTTGCTCTGGTCTTGGATACGTCTGTGGATATATATTGATTACGGGCTGCGGTAAAATTTCATACTATTACTACTACTACTACCACTGCCTCCTAACTGGTATATGGAGGTATGCATCTTGACGCTCGAAAATGACCAAAATCTAAAAATTGCTCAACCGATATCCTTCAGGCCATGGCCCGCAATTGAAATGAGCGTTGGTCAAGTCCCAGTTGGGTTGAAGACTCAGACTCTCCATGGAAAGCAAAAGAGAAGGCATCCCGAGCCAAGCTCCCCTCCATCGAGCTCTCGTGACAATCGACTGAATCGGAGGACCCAGTCTGGCTGTCGTCAGTAGTGGCGTAATTACATGTATCATCCGGGAGACTCAAGACGTTTCCCGGCCTTTCCCCCCACCTTCGGCGCAAGCCCCAGCACTTCCTGGGAGATGTGCTGGATCTCCCGGACGTTCCGTTCAGGGCCGCCTGCGGCCAAAAGTCCGCCAGCGCCCTGAGGCAGCCGATGCTCAGCCGGATCTGGTGCCTGGCAATCTTGAGCTTCTCGTCCTTCAGGAGGAACTTGCAGGCCGAGAGCAGGGGGACCGTCCCCGTCGTCACCATGCAGGTCCGTGAAGGGCGTGTGGCGGAACGATCGGGCCGGGAGGGCCAGGGGCCTGATTTGGGCCTCGATGGACCGCAGACACCGCGTGGTATGGATGTTGACCAGCTCCCCGGCGGCGAGGAGGTTGTCGGGGCCCCCGGTTGCGCAGCTCGAGATGATCTCGAGTGGGTGGAACAGGAGGGCGGAGTGTTGTCGGTGGCAGCCGATGATCCATCTATGGTCTTGTGAGTTTTTTTGACGGCAAAAAGAAAAGGGGACGGGGGGAAAAAATATGAAGGCCCTGGGAAAGAAAACCATGAAACTTACGCGTGCATACCATCTGAGCTTGGAACATGAGCTCGTCGACAACGCCTTCCTTGGTCATGACGTGCCGCTTGGACTCGGGCAGCAAAAGGAGCCATCCGTCAATGATGGCGTCGACTGCGTCGATGAGCTTTACGGCGGTGTCATCGGGCATCGGGCGTATCGGTTGGGGCCAGGGAGAAAGCGGACGCGACCCTCAGGAGATATGATAATCAGAAGACAGGGAGGAGAAAAAGACGGACGCACGCCCAATTCATGTCGGTCTCCTCGCAAGGAAGACCAACGGTAGCCCGAAGGTCCCGGGTTGGATAGTTCATAGACCGCTGCATGTCCGCGTAGTAAGCATCGACGATGTAGAGCTGCCACCACGTCCTGCGCCAACTTTCTTCCAGGACAGGGTCCCCGCGGCCATGCTCGGCGGCGAACTGTCGGCAGGTCCAGGGCTAGGGACACGGCACCATCCATAATTTGCTGCGTTTCGGCCTCGTCGCTGCTCCAAAAGAGGGCGATGGAGAAGAGGAGACGTGCTTGAACCAGAAAGGGGTCGGCGTGCGGAACCCCCGGCGAGTCGGTCGGGCATGAGATGTTTCTCCTTGCTTGCTCTCTCAGCTGGGCGGACCGGTCTGAACGTCCGTATATGGCCCCTATGAAGCGGACCACGGCGACCACTGACCCCAAGCTGGGGTGAACGGCTGCGTCTAGGAAGAGTCTCTCCAGGTGTCTGCGTGGGAGGACGCATGCGGCATGGCTGTCTGTTTGTCTTTCACGCCCCCCGACTAGGGTCTGCACGGGGCTTCGATACTTTTCGTAATGACATTTCTTGCCCGCATCTAAGCAGCGACGGCAATAGGGCCGCTTGGCGTCGCATTTTCTGTGACGAGTCCGACAGGGCATGCAGGCCAACGAGACGCGTGAGACTCCAGCTTTGGGGCGTCCAGTGGCTCCTGGTTCCTAACTTCCTCTGCTGAGGATGACGATGTAATCTGTGGGTGTATGGGAGACATTCTCTTCCATTCTCTTCTTTTCGATTGCCGAGAAAGATGATAAGCAAAAAGAGAAGAAGATCGTGTCGTGTCCCTAGGTCAGATTGGGATTCACATGCGATAATGGTCGGGAATGGGAGAAGAATGATGGGAGTTGTTTGTTCCATTGGGGGGAATTCGGCGAAAACGGGTACCCATAAAGCGGGTATCCGGGGGCGGGTATTGGTGGGGTCCCGGGTAACCGCTGTACTAGTACTTGATTTCTTACCAAAAAGGGCTGTATGACCTTGTTTCTGGTACTTCCCCTGAATTTGCCGGCTGGTCAGCCCTATGTCCTCGCTGACTGTCGCGAACCTTTCGGGCACCCAAGGTACCTAACAACTACCACCGCAAGCTTGTCTGCAGCGGAGAGGTGGCCAAGGACATGAAGCAATTCATCAATGGCGTCTTGATTTATCCGCCCAAGGGGGGCGTGGAGGAGTCTTTGCTGCTGGGACCCGAACTGGAAACTTCCGGGCCCGGCCATGGAGCTTTTGGGTCCGGCTTGATGGATCATGGAATCAACTCTGGGCTCCTGATATCTGACCTGATGTCCGTCCTTTCGGCTTGGAATTTAAATTCAAGTCAATCGTTGCTGTTTCTTTGGGATACTCTAACGTAGTCTACTCTCCAGAATTTGAAATACAATCCTACTGTTTATACTCTAATTTGTCTTCATCGGGTTCTCTCAAAACTCCATGTCATCAGGCCTCCAACGAGTCTGCCTCCTTAGGGGGGGAAAGGGGGGGGACCTTGACATCCAACACACCTTCTTTTTCGCAAACACTACCTCAGGGAGTCAGAGGCTCAGCGAAGCTGTGGGTGCTTCTTCTGTGCATACCATAGCGCCTTTGCCGAGGGCGGCGTCGCCAATGGACCGGGCCGCTGCGGATGTTCCAACAGTGGCTGAATGGGGTCCGGGGAGTGGAAACGCCCAACAGGATGAGACCCAACATCATTTTAGATAACACCAGGGCGCTGTATCATTTGATACTATTATTTGGTTGATTGAAGGTCAGCCGTCGCCGCGTTGGCGCATTGCATGGGATCGATCTTCTCTTTCTATGCAGCTCGGCTGATCCGACAAATTAGGACCTAGGGCCTAGGCATATAAATTGTTTGAAATATCACCATCTATGTGATAGCCTACACGATGTGCCGTGCAAGACTTTGAAATAGTTCGCACTCCATCAAAGGCCGTCGAGTGATTCCGGCCAGACCCAAGTCCCTCCCTAGACATTGGAACTTTGGAAGTCGTTGAATGCCCAGCCGCCCTTTGATCACCACTCCCTTGCATGGAGAAGTCGCGTGTTGTCAACTCCATTCCGATTGAAGGCTCATAGTATCGAGCCAAACACCACTACTAGGCTAAGAGGGAACGGCATGAAGCTAGTGTGCCGCTTTGTTTGCAACGACGTTCACATCTCAAGATGCATGCGGCATGCCACCTCGTAGTTGGCCAGCAAGTTCCTGAGGATATGGACGCGAGGTCTCGGCATGCATATCTGCCAACGTCCATGAATGGCTGTCCGTTTTCGCTCGCTAATCATCGTTGAATAGGGGCCATCGTCGCATACAGAACCAACACACACCCGTATTGAGGACAAAATGCCTTGCCGCTTGCTTGCATTATCACAACGCATCAAGCACACAGTCTCCCAACCCCGGCCGTCCCGCCTACTCTAGGCTCCCCCGAATCAAGTGCGGGAAACTCATGAGTCGAGAATCAGATATTCATTGGTCCCCGACCTTCGTGACCCGAGGTATCTTTGGGCGTGGCGCTTGTTGGCGTCAGTCGTGCACCCAATATCGATGCTACATCCGCCGTCATTCGTTCCTGTTCCCGCACTTATTGTCGTGAGGTCTTTCGTTGGGATATCCCTGCGGAAATCAACCCACCCCCAATCTAGCTCACCACCCCAAGCTGTTGTTCATGTCCATGTGGACAACTGCCTGCTCGACAAGAAGTGCGATGACCCTTATCATCTCGCGTTCGGACTGGAAAGCCATACATAAAGCCTTTCCCACTCCCATCGTCGTCCATAAGACGGAAGCACTCGCAACTCCAGATCATTGTCAACTTGTCAAGTTTCATTAAATCATTTGATATCTTCCGAGTTTCAACCAAAGAATATTACAATCTGTTGCCATCACCCAGCGATACTGGTCACCGTCACCCACCCCCCCTTTCATCCGACAACTATGGGAAAGAGACATACCCCCTGGTACCTCCTGGTGCAGGTCATTTTCTACCAGTTCATCAAAGGGATGATGGCTCTGGGCGCTGTCTGGATGGTGTGGCAATTCCATCAGACCAAGAAGACACAGGTAAGAACACGTACACAAGTGGTTGATGAGAGCTCCTGAGACTGATTACAGTGATTAGTGGCAGCTCCAACCTCTTCTAACATGATCGACATCGAGGGCTGCGTGCATGTACATGCAAATTTCCTGTGCTGCCTATACACTACATGCCGAGAACTCACTGGAGAGGCTCCGTGCTAGATACACAACCAGGATACCGCCCATGTGGACTAAGGAGTTGGGTGTTTGGGGATATTTTGGGACGTGCTTGGTATCAGAGAGGACGGGGACTTCCTTATTAAAGATTTGCATGGTAGAAGACCAATCTTGATGAACAGTATGATGACTATGAGAATGTCAATAATTGCAAGAATTAAGTCAATAGCACATAGCTGAAGGCATAATACTATACGCCAATACCAAGCATGAGCAATAAAATTACCCCTTATCTACTCTTTACTCGTCTTGAGTTCATCATACTAAAAGAAGCCCCACACATAGGCTTCTTGGGAATGTATTAGTCTCGGGTGCATGAGTGAGATATTGGGCACTCGGTCGCACGACGTTGCCTTGGCTCACCTACTTACAAGAGTAAGAGTGTAAGACATGTCTCGGCAGTTACTTCGCCTTTCCCGACTTATTAGACTCTCTCCAAGCTTCTCGCGGGGGCCCGGCATCTAAAAGGTCACCGATCGTTCAATGAGAATGCCAGCGGCTGGACCGGAGTATGCATGTCACTATGAAAATATTGTATTGTGCATCCAGTACACTACTTCTCAGGCGTCATTACATCCGCCGACTCGCCAACGCCTTCCTCTTTTGCATGCGCATCATACCTCAACACCATGGAAGAAATCCGCCTCCCCGAAAGCCTTCACAATCTTGAAAATGGGAGCCTCGATAGCCTTGCACCCCGACAACACCTTGCGCGTCCACGGGCTATCGGCGATGTCCATGAGGTTCTCGACACTGACATCCTCCGTGTCGAACTCGTGGATGGCCAGCCAGGTAGGCGGCTGAGGGGGCGGCTCACTGCTCGTCGCGAGACCCTTGAGTACGCGGGACTGAGCGTTGGACCGCGCGTAGGCGAGCTTGTACCGGGTTGTCCGGAGGAAGCCCTTTCCCTTGCAAAGCTCCTCCAGATGCTGTTCGGGAAAAGAGTTCATGTCAGTTTTCAACATGAATGTTTTGTTACACTGGAATGGTTCCACGTAGCACGCATACCTCCTCGCGGTACCATCGATCAAACTCCTCATCGCTGACTTCGGGGCCGGGCTCGATCTGAGCTGATATGATGGTCTTGGTGTGCCCTATTATAAGGTGAGTATCTAAGTTTAAGTCGAAGAGGGCGGTGGCCTTACCCTTGCCCTTCTTCGTAGGATCAAACACCTGAATGAGGTTGTACACCCGCACATCAAAATTGGCGACGTCGTAGATGGCCGCTCCACCGGGAATCTTGTCGCTGTGGACCCTAATCTTCTTGAACTCGTCCGTCTGTGTGAACCCGATGTCCTCCAGCGGGTACATGGCGAGGTAGGGCTTCTCGACTTTGCCAAACTCGACGTCTTTAAAGCGCCAGGCGGACGAGACGCCGCTGGTCTCGAGGACCTCGGCGATGTGGTCATTGTCGTACCAGTCCATGAACTTCTCTTCGTCCAACACGTCGGTGCGTTCGATGGCCGAGTTGACGTAGAGAAGGCCGCGGCCGCTGACGGGTGGTTGCGCCATGGTGGGGGCCGTGGGGCAGGACTCGCAGGAGGTTGATCGATATGCGAAGGCTCGTTTGTCCCAACTGCTAAATATGCGAAGGTTCGTTTGTCCTAACTGCTACGATCTCGCGCCGGCTATTGGAGTGTGAGAAAATGAAAAGGGCAGTGAAGTTTGTTTAGCTCATTCTTCTCTGGGCCGGCGATCGATGTGTTTCTATATGACGTACTGGCGGGTATGGTTTTCCTCGCCCCAGCCTGGACGCGTCACCCACCAAGTCGTCTCCGCAAATACCGAGTTCCGAGATAATGAGGGGTTCGTCTGTTGTGTCCTTATAGTATAATACACAGCGTGCCACCAGCAGTGTTGGTTTCCGTGTCGTAGCTGACTGGCTTCATGGCCTTGTTCTGGGGCCGGATTATAGGGATTACTCCAAAGCTTTGGGATCGTCACGATCGTGTTATTGGATGGTTGCAAAATGATGGTTCCGTCTTTTTAAATTTCCCACGGGGCATAAGAAAGGCCACCTTACTTCATCATCAAGGGTCAGGGAGCCAAGGCCCGAGTTGGGGCGCCAGTCGGCTTTAGTATCGTAGCGTCTTCCACGTCGTCGGTCCGACCCCGGATCCCGGATTCCCGGTGGCTGATAAGTGGGGCCGGCCGAGAGTTGCAGAAAGGGGGGTAGCGGGGTCCGGGAAGACCCCACAAGGACTTCGGCAAACAGTAAGAGCCTCCCCTGCTATACACGTAGTATTCGTAGAAGCGGGTCAAAGAATGCTTTTAGACCCGGATCCATTATCCGACTTTCTATATAATCACGGTCGACATTAACTCGCTATACATAGCCACCAATAGACACTTCGATATAGTACAGACATTATCAAGTTTGTACATGTGTAATGCATGCGCTTAAGACCCCTCAACTTCTAGACGTTAACCGTGGGGCCCTTGACTCTACTTCTTCTACTCCCTCCTCTTCTTGGTCGCCTGCGGATCTATGATAGAAGTCCCTGGAGTGGCCGCTTGCACTTGTCCAGTATTGCTCGACTGGTTGACCTGCTCAACAAGTCGAGAAGCCGAGCCGACATCCGATTGCCTCGAGCTTCCAAGGTCTTTAGATAGCCCCGTGTCTGGTAACGACGGAACATCAAAGTTCAACTCGGCCGGCAGTTGATTGATAGCTGAACAGATCATCTCGAAGTGCGTGGGCGCCCACACGTCGTAGACGTTCTTGACGAAGCGATAGGTCGTCCACTTCTCCTTCCCGTCCAGCGTGGTGAAATCGAATTTATAAATCGCGTGACGGTAATACGCGGTATTGTTCCCATTGATCTCCGCGTAGTGGCCGTAGATACGCACCGAGCTATGGTCATGCGACACGGAGAAGGCGAGGATCTGCCGGTGGATTTTGGCCTCGCGCTTCACGGCGCGGAAAAGCTCGACGACGGCTCGGACGGCAAGAGCCATACTGTGCGCGTTCTGGCGGTCGGCGATGTCGAGCCCCACAGCGCCGCACTTGACCTCGCATGTCAAGAACGGGAAGTACATAAAATACGTCGCCATGAAGAACGACAAGTCCCCATCAACCAAGTCGCCTATGAACGGCGATAGCTTGGTGAGCTGGTCGTCGGTGAAGGCCCGGCGTCTGAACCCCACAGCGTAGTCCGGTTGGGGCCGGGTGCCAGTGCCTGTTAGGGGGATCGAATTGTTCCACCCCGCGTTGACGCTCTCGACCAGAGGCCTGAGGTGTATGGCACGGAGGGCAAGCGTTTCGGCCGAAGGAACGACGAGTCGAGAAATGTCCTGGATAATCCTAACCTCATTCTGACCCCCCAAGTTACGACAAGCATCCAAGAATACTGCGTCGTCGAAGATGGTCTCCCTGGGGATCGGCTGTTCACCATCCAGGAGGGTTTGGACAAGACGCTTGCTCGTATCCGTAATACCTTCGTCGGATGCGACCAGGTATACGCCCTTGGTCTCGAGCAGGATATCGTAACGGTTGTCCCGGTAGGGCGCACTCTTCTCCTCCCTCGGCCTTTGATCGCTGGGCGTCATGGACGAAGCAGAGTTCGATCTCTTGCGGGAAAGAGAGCGCAAGGACCTCTTTCGCGCAAGCATGTGCTCCATGCCGAGGTCGATGTATTCTTGTGGCCACTGCTCTTCGCGTGGCCAGTGCCCTTCTCTTGCCCAATGGGCAATTGGATTGAGCTTCGTGGAAGTCTGTGTCTCTTCCACAAGGGGATCTGTCGGAGACAGTCGCGGTCGCTTCTCAACGGGTTCTGGATCGTGATGGCGAGCGTCAGCGGGCCGCTTCGTACCGCGGTGCGAGTGGTGTTGAAGCAAAGTCTTCTCGGTCGAAGAGGGGTACGGCTGGGGGCACTGGGCGTGCTGGGCGGCTGGTTGCCATATCCGAGAATGGCTTATATGCATCCCCACGTCCTTGGGTGGTGGCTCGCCTGGTCATTTTCAGCAACGTTGCGATCGGGTGCTTCGTCTTCGCGGGACAAAGGCAATACCTTGGAAATCCTGCGTCGTTGATATGTCGCCCTGCTGGGCAGCCAACTGCGCTCGGGTGTGGACCATGGCGACGAATAACGAAGCTTGTACATAGTGAAAGAAGAAGAGGGGTGGTTGATGCGAGAAGAAGCGACCTCTCAAGTCGACGTATTCGTACGTTGTTGGTAGGAAGTCTTGAGTTGGTGAGGGACGTGCATGACAAGGTGCCTAAGCATATGTGGGGCGTGGCAGACGCGTTGGTGGGGACGGCTCGGCTTCGTACTTATGAATTAGGTACGTACTTTATATGGCCAACAGCCAAAGGAAAGGTACAGAGTACAAAGTAAGGTACAGATACGCATCCGTCGTGTCAACAATCGCCAACATAAGGTACCTTAACAATTAAGGTAATACACGTACACACCTTCTATCCGTCAATCTCGTGGCTCAGCTTCACAGCTTTAGAGCCATGGGTCTCGATAACGACGGCCGGGTCCTCGGGGTTCCCATTGCGAGACACCTTGTTCCCCTTCTTCGTCGTAATGGTCGCCCTTTTCACTTGGTCAGCTCTATCCCACGTAGAGTCCTGGGGTCAGCACGAATGTCCCATTCTTACTTCTCTTCCTTGACATCAAGCACCTTGCCCTCGGGATGTCCTTGGCCCCATTTCCAACTCACGATGTCTCCCTTCGAGGGACCGTTCTTGGATCTTGCCTCAGTGTCGCCCTCTTTGTTGATCTCCTTATGATCTCGCTGGGGTTTATTATCTTTCGACTCATCTTCGTTGGCCTCGTTCTCGGCAGAGACTCCTTCTCCTTGACGCGTCTGCCGCTTCTTGCTCGCCCCCTCCTCTTCGTCAAGGCCATCCTCCTTCTTTCGTTTCTCCCCAGTTTTATCCCCCTCTGCCTGGCCCTTGTCATCATCGTGCTCTTTGGCCTCTTGGTTTTTGGTTTCTTTTCCCTCTGTTTCCTTTTCGCCATCGCCACTCTCAGTCTCAGCCTCATCGACCTTGGTCTCATCAGCGGGCTGATCTCGACCCTGTGCTCGGAGAAAATCATGCCCCCAGTTCTTGAGCGACGCATACGACTTGGTCTGCTTCACCTCGTCGTCTGACTTTTTGGCATGCGCACTGCTTTCCTGTGCCAGGTGCCGCTTGCTTCAATGCGAGAGAATATTGAATCCGTCAGCTCTTTGAATCTAGTTTGGCCGAGGAAGAACAACATATTAGGTCGGGCGTCGAAACATGGGCTCACCAGTAAGAAACCACCTTTCGCATATGCGCAATCTGCTCCTCCGTATACTTCTCGGGATCCTTTTCCGGGTTGGCTTCCAGGATCTCGACGATCTTGCGTCCGCTCTCGTGCCCGACGGTTTCCGGCTCGCCTTCCTCGTTGTGTTTGGGCCATCCTGCGCTGCGCGAGTCGTCCGATTTCAACCATGCTTCGAGTTCCGAGGCCGTCATGTTGACGTACTCGATGAATTCACTGATTATTTCTTCGTTGCTCTTCATTTTGGCCGTTGGCGTACGTTTATTGTCGGATAATTCGGGTCCTTGGTGTTGGCCGCTTTCGTTTCGTTGTGGGAGAGACGTGATATATGCGAGTGTCTGATGCGAGTACAAGCAGGTTGTAAGTTGTGAGGAGCAAATCCTTGCGAACATTGGGGCACCAGATGGCCAGGCGAGTTATTCGAACCATTGACTTGCGTTCTAAGACAAATCTCGTCGCATGCGTAGTGACACAGGAGATGATGTCTATCATCTCGTGTCGTCATAGAGGCGACCCTGATTCAGGAACGCGCCGTTCGCGTTAAATATTCGCCAGGACCAATGAAACAGTGCTCACAGGTAAAACCTTCTCTCGGGGTCCGTACGAACTAGGCGGTTGGTTCCATACACCTTAAGCTGCATCCCTGATTTTCAATGTAGTTAAATGGGATGGAAATGAGAAGCATGGAATACGGAGCTCTCCTGGTCAATGACTCGATTCAGGGTCATTATATGGAGCTGTAAGAATAGGTCAATGGAATGCTGACCTCCGGACTATACTGATCAGATATTATCAGTCTGATCCGGTGTGCGGAGACCAAGTTAGTTCGTGTCTCAGCGAATGTACAGCCTATAGTGAATACCCAGCGTCGAAACCATGCAAACTAGGTATATAACTAGGAATGTGCCGCAAGCTCTTTCTGGTATGATAACATGACCAGTGTATGAGTCGCAGTCTTCTTTCCCTGGCGCCTGTTGTATTGTTCCCCTTGCCGCCATGCTCTATATAAAGACTCTGTAACAGTGATATTGAAGTTTGCAAGGAGGAGTATAAGAACGACAACCATTAGGGCAACTACGGTAACAGAGACGGCTGTCGTAAATTATTCCAAAGTCTGTTAATCCATTGAGTCTACCAACTCGTGTCAGCGACTGTTACATATACGTCCGAGGTTTCAGATGCTTTGTGACTTGCGACCAACCAAACATGCGGAGCTTGAACCTGAGCCAGGTAAGCAGTGTAAGGTAGTCAAGTTAGTTAGCCTAATCGGAAGAACCAACCGGTTAACCTTGGTACGTTGGGGTCGAGTTACTCCGTCGGGGTTCCTCTTCATCGCTGCTGCGGCGCATTACGACCAAGGGCTTGCAAAATGTGGAACAAATACGATAACCTGCTTGTCATGTTTGTAATTTGATGACGCTTTGGTTGACTTCAAGGATATCTATCTGCCCTGGTAGACTCTTACCTCACGAGTCACCCATCCCCAGGAAGATCCGAGACCACATCTTCCTCCTTCGCCCTCGCCCTGAAAGCCTTCCTCAGCTCACACTTCCCCAGAGTCTTCCCCCCAGCCTTACACTCCTCACAAATCTTGCCATGCCGCACCATGAGCACATGCAGCCCATACTTCTCCCCATCAGGGATCTTCGCATTCAAGTGCGCATACGTCTCATCCCTCGTCGCCCGAGCGGGCCGCCACCCCAGCAACCCGCTGATGCGCCACACATGGGTATCAACCGCAAAGCTCTCCCGCCGCAGACAGAACAGCAACACGCAGCTGGCCGTCTTGTGCCCCACGCCGCGGAACGAGAGCAGCTCGCGCATGGCCTCCTCGTCCGTGGCCCCGAAGAGGTGGTCGAGCGAGTAGACGCCGTGCCGCTGGCGGACCTGGTCCAGGATCTGCAGGATGGCGCGGGACTTTACGCCCGCGAGGCCGCCGCGGCGGATGGCGGATTCGAGCTTGGCGGGGCCGCCTTGGACGATGCGGTGCCAGACGGTTTCGTCGGCGGGGTCTTCCTCTTTGCAAGCTTTGATCCTGCTTCTGCTGACGCTGCTGCTGCTGCCACTGCTGCTGCTACTGCTGCTGCTACTGCTGCTTGTAGTGACTGCTGTGCTAATGGCGGAGCTGTAACCGTAGGCGGCGTCCAGGCCTTGCTTCGCGAGGGCGGAGTTCGTGTCGCTCGTGTTCTGGCTTAGGATGGTCCGGACGAGGGCATCGAGAACAGAAGGAGACTCGCCGCATCCTGCCCCGGTGGTGGGGGCCTTAATGTCACCTAGTTCCGGACGTGCTCGCTCTCCGTGCAGTTCGGAGAGGATGCGGTGCGCGAGTCGGGTTTCGGCGGGTGACGGGTGGAGGAATTCTGGAAACGGGCTGCGGGAGGCGTACTGGGCGTATTCTTTTAGTTTCTTCGTTTCGAGGACGTTGGTGGAGGCTGATTTGGTGGCCTGGGCAATTTCGGTGCTGGGAGGGGAGCGAGGGACTGATTTGCTGTCGTCGTCGTCGTCTTCAGCTTCCTCTTTCTTAATGCGTTTGGATGGTTTGGCCGGGGATGGAAATGACGGTGATGGTGATGAAAGCGATGTCCTCTTTCGTTTGTCTGAACAGTCAGAGGTTAGTTCTTGTTTTGTGATGGCTGTCGGTGCCGTTGATGAGCTTGCCAGCATGGCGGCTTGACGGGTTCGAGAACGAGTGAGTCGTGTCATGTCGAGGATCTACCGCGGCACCACTGGCCAGCGTCCTTGAGAATCAGCTTTGAGCACCCGGTTGAGTACGGCCATGTACTGTCGAAGAGGGCGACGTACAGTCCAAGCCCATTGATCGCTTCGTTGATACGAAGGGCCCCCCAAGAACGGCACCACTCATAAACGGTCGTGAGAAATGGTCGAGGTCTCGAGGAGACTGGCCAATTGCGCTGGTATTCAGTCTGTGTTCCGGAAACAATTCATTGAGAAGAATAAAACACAGCTGGCTTGATATGAGATAAATATGTTCGTAAATTAGAATGAAGTAAGAATTCCGTATCAATGAGATTGGTGATGTATCGATTCACTGCGACGATGGAGAGGGAAAAAATGGACATGTCGAAATGAGCGTCAAGGCCAAAACAGAACCCCTGAACACCACCGGCTGCCGGGTTAAAAGCAATGGAAGACTTTCCAACCCTTATAGTTTCCACTGCACCATTAGCAGCTAACCCTCATATATGATATGCTTTTACTCCTTTAGCTATAAAATTAGTAGCAGGGAGTGCCGTTCTTTATTTTTTTTGAGGTATATATTTAACTGAAGGAGGTCTAGAAGTTTTTGATCCTGATATACTAAGTAGGTTTTTTCCTTTAACACGGCAATATATAGATTGAATGCTTGAGTTTTATGAAACAGTCAGAGCAAATGTTTCTTTTGCTCAACCTTCACCAGAAGCTATTGAGTACTATAGATATTTTGATACTATAATTCAAAGTTTAAATAGAATATTTCCAGCTTACCGTCATTTAGCTCCTTTTTTTGAATATAGAGAGGATTTAGTTTTACTTGAAGGAAGATATACTCAAACTGCGCAAAGGCTTATTAGACAATTTAGAGAAATGGAAAATATGCTATATGATCATAATATAGTTAGATTTAGACTTCCAAGATTTGAACTTAAAGTAGTACCACAACTTTAAGTTCTAAATAAACAAGGATAACTTTTATTATCTCTTAAAGATTATGAAGTAAATGGTTTACACTTTGATTGCAAATCTTAAGTCCTAGGTTCGATTCCTACATAATCTTACAAAAAAAAATAATTCAATAAATTTAAATAAATTAAACTCATTTTTATGAGATACACTCTTTTTTAGGTATTTAATACTTTCACAAGAAGAGTATTTAAATTTAAATATTTATAAATTTAAATGTTAGAAAGTAGTGAAGAAAGTAGTGAAGAAAGTAGTGAGCCTGTCCATAAACATGGCCTAATAAGAGAATTAAAATCTTCAATCTCGATAGGATTTGAAAGATGATTT